GGGGGGGGGGGCGCGGCTGTAGAGGATTTCTTTAACCGTTTTACTGTGCACGCGAGTTTGGATCTGAACTTGCATGAAAGCATGTGTTTGGGGGGCTCTCATAGCCTGCTATAGTTTAGGTGGATCCCCCACCCAGTAATAGTGACTATTATGGATAATAAGGAATATAATAGGGTCCTCTTATATTCCTATACCACTATTACAGGGGGGTCCTCCTAAGCTATAGTACTATAGGTTCCACATACCCAACGGACCACATTGGCTGAAAAGCCTCCAAACCTTGGCTGAAACCAAATGCGCACTCAAGCCCTGTTGCTCGGCACATCGCAAAACTCAGGCTTGGCACTTCCCGTAGCCCAGATGTCCCGGTTTCTGTCCAACGTATTCTAGGCGCAGATCCCCAAAACGGGTTGGACATCTACAAACTCCATGTGCCGCCTATAACCATGGTTTTGCATGCGCTGAGCCCCGATAGTTCACAGTGTTCGGTTTAGGCTAGGTCCCCAAATCATCCCCACCGCCACGAATATGAAGACTTTTGCAAAACCATCGTAGAAATCCAAACCTCAGGTGCACAGGGCTCAAGAAGGATAAGCAGCTGTAACCGCATCCTCGGAAATCAAGACACAATGAACCCTAAACCCTTCAACCCTAATGCATATAAGCTATGGCCTAAACTCCTTAAACGGGGGTTATATAGGGAACTATTATAGGCTAGGAGCTTAGACTATAGTTTATATACATCAACGATAATTGTGGCTTAACTTCGGGAAAGTTGTCAACCCCAAACGCTAAATACTAAACCCCGAAACCGCGTCGTGCCATTGGAGCCCTCTAGCCTGAAGCCCATGGTGAAGCTTACTTGCACTAAGCGATCTGAATAGCCTAAACCCTAAACCCTACCTAAACACACAAAAAATTGTAGAATAATAGCCCTAAACCCATAATAACAGCCATAAAGGCCATTATTTTACATACTTTGGGGGTCCAGGTAAACCTAAAGTAGGTCCTTCTTCTAAGCTTTGAAGCCCTAAGTTGGTATTATTCATTATTCAAACACTTTATATACAGCCTGTAGAGTTTAGGGCTTAAGGGCTTTCAACTGTTTAGGGTCTAGGTTTTTGAGCTTTCAATTGTTTAGGGTTTCGACCCTAAAGCCCTAGTCCCTAAATCCGTTTAGGGCCCAAATTGGCATTATTTCACTTCAAGATAGGGTTTAGGGTTCTTGGGTTGCCAGTCCAGCAACGGCGGCTCATCTGCCGTCTCACTTGGTGCCTGGGTTCTGCATGGCTGGGCTTAGGGCTTCGAGTTGTTTCGGTTCTGAGGTTTAGGGTTTAGGGCTTAGGGTTTAAGGATATGGGGGTCTCCCCAAATGAGGGCTAACTTGGGTTCCCCCTATTTATGGAAACTATACTATCATTACCAATCCAAGTACCGAAATATTAAGGTTGGTGCATGAAACCATTCAGAGTATAGCATCTGGGACCTAAAGCCTCATTGATTGGGACTTTAACCCCTTGGAAAAATTGCGGCCTGGGGTTTATCCTGTACCCCAGAGTTTACACAAGGGCTCCTACGTAGCTCCTCTTGGAATTTGTTATGCGCCCCTGCTACAACAATTACATAACGGAGAAGGATTACAATCTACCACCCTGAAAGGAACTACATAAAATCCTCACGGAAAAGCCACAAAGGTTTCTTCGGACTCAGTTCCTGGTTCAGGGTCTACATGTATTCTTAAACCCTAAACCATGAACCCTACAACGACAGCATTCTGGTTGACTTCATACATTAGTATGGGTTTAGGCCTTTACCCTAAACCCTATAGGGTCTAGATTGAGGGAATAGAACCATGCAAAAGCCAGCTTGGTAATATGAAGAGCAAAAACCCATTCGGTAATTCCAGCCTGATCATCCTGGCTGTAGGAAACACGCCACGCACATGTGAGCATCTTGCTGCTCAGCAAATCTCGGGCATTGAACGCCGAAGCTGCCGTTGTAAAGCGAAGGCCATCGGTCTTGGTGGCCAAAGATGTGAACTTGAATACCAGCTGGCTCTGCGGGTCGGGCGTGATCACATGGCGATCATCATCAGATCCATCATCTCCTTAAAGGATATCCGAAATCCTCACACTTAGGGTGTAATTTTGGGCTTCCCGAACGTACTGGCACCCCAAAAGGCCGAAACAGCAAAAAGACCCCTCCCAAGCAACCCATTTCCCACTTGTAGTTTCAAGAGGCAAGGAAATTTAGGGTTTGGCCTGTAGTGCTCCGGGTTGTGTCCAAAGCCTAAACCCCAAATCCTAAACCCGTGTTGCCCTCAACCCCACACCCGAAATCCTGCGCCAGCAAACCCTCAATCCATGACCTAGAGTGTTAAAGCAAAACACTAGCAGCCTTGACCAGCTACACGTCGACTGTCAACAATAAGAGGGCTAGCCAACAACAGTGAAACAGAACTGAAGGGGTTCCTTGTTGGGACATTATGAACGTTTAGGGTCGATGATTAGGGTTCACGGATTTACTACCCCGAAAGTCATAAACCCTAAACCCTAAACCTATTTCTAATAATGGCCCAACCAAGCATTACATCGAAACCTAAAACGAGAAAACCTGGACACACAAGCTATGTGCTGTAGTGTAGAAGCCTGAACACTCAACGTGCTCCCCTGACAAGATCTGGCTCAGGCCCCCTACTATGGGTTAACCATTAAGTACCTATAATAGGAGAATAAGGGAATCCCAAAGGGTTAGGGGTCTAAGGTCCAAGCTAAGTCCCAAGGAGATATGATAGCGTAATATGTATACATTTACGCACACATAGCCGGGAACAGGGCTTGTTCTACATTAGGGTGATACACGAGCCTACATACTTGCCACTATGGTACCCTATACCATACAAGCAATCTTGGCCCGCAAGATTGGCAATTTCCAGGGTTGAGGGTTTAGTTTCCAGGCTACTAGTTTAGACTATCTGCTTCATAGGTCAGAATCCAAGCTGGCGGATCGTAGAGAATGGGGTTTAGTTTGCTTTTGTTTTCTTGTGGGGTTTGGCCTAAAGCTTGTAGGGTCTAGGATTTAGGGTCGGGGGTTAGGGTTTAGGATGAATGGACCTTCCAAATGATTAGTCTTGATGTAATCGCACTATTCCATTTTCTGATTCCCTGCTAGCCACCATAAACCCCTTTTAGGCCCTCACCCTGCAACCTAAAACCCTAAAACCCTAAACCCTAAACCCTGAACCTTAAACCCTAAACCCTAAACCACCCCTTTTCTGCAACCAGTAGCCGTGTGCAGGACGCATCGCCCGAATGGAGAGAGGTGTTCGGCCTGAATCTCGGCCATCGCGTTTACTGCTTGGGATCGAGCTGGGGGGTCCAAAGCTAAGGGACCCGAAGCCCGAAACGACGCCCAACCCTAACAATGAGTATACCTGAGCCTCGAAAGTATGGCAAATAATAGCTTTTTTGGCTGTGTTTAATGGATTTGGGCTTTTATGTTACCTACTTTATAGGGTTTAGATAATTCTTTTTGCTATACACCCTGGGACTTCGAGTTCTGGAAGCAGCCATGCGAACTGTTCTTTCAGACGCCCCACGGTTTGGGTGCAGATGTTGTTTAAGCCTTAAGGTTTAGGGTTTGCCGTGTAGGAGACTCCAATACATGAGGAGGATGAAGCAAACGTCTTGGCATAAGCATTCTTACGCGGTTGTTGCCGAATATGGGGGTACCCTTACAGGGACCCCCAGGATATATGATACATGTGTATCAAAGGCGATCAGAAAGGTCTGCGTCAAAGCGGAGAGGACCGGTAGATCCTGAAACGCAAGTGCGGGGCCCATGAGGCCTCAATCTTTGAACCCTGAACCCCAAACATTCCTGAAAGCACTGGCTCCTAACCCTAAACCATGAACCCTTTGAACCTGAATCTCAAAACCCCAAGTCCGGAACCCTGAAAAATCCTAGACACTGGCTCTGCCGAAACAAACCTCATGACTTGAGTAGTGTTTTTTTTAGTGATTGAACCTAGTAAGATATAATTCCTTATATGAAATACTATACCAATAAGGAGGACATAATCTTAGTCTATATTGGGTACCATAATACCCGCCAAAAAAATACTACTCACTTGAGCTTCCGCATCTACCCTAAACCCTAAACCCTAAACCCCTAAACCCCTAAACCCCTAAACCCTAAACCCCTAAACCCTAAACCCTAAACCCTAAACCCTGAGCATCCCGGAGCCTGAGACCCTAGAGGCCCTAAACCCTCAACCCTAAACCCTGCCCGAATTTATAGTGCCCCTAGGGTTTAGGGTTTAGGGGTTTAGGGTTTAGGGGTTTAGGGGTTTAGGGTTTAGGGTTTAAGTAAATAGAAGATGGCTTTGGGTTTAGTATAATAAGATCCCCTATATACCTCATATTCTATCCCTAAACCCTAAACCCTAAATAGTTATTTCCATATTCTTTTTCATTATCCCTATATAGCCCCAATATAACCCTCATACTCTATCCACTTAAGGGGAGACTATGCACCCTAAACCCTAAGCCCCATATTCTATCTGCTTGAGGGGGACTATATGACAAGGTGCGTCCATGACCTCTTCCAGTTCGACGAACTCGAAGCTGCTACACTCCTGGCCGAAGAAAGCTGGCCATACCCTGGGGGGGTTAAGGGTTTAGGGTTTAGGGTTTGGGGCTTAGGGTTTGGGGTTTAAGGTTTAGGGTGTATGGTTAAGGGCTTAAGGCTTGGGGTCTAGGGCTTCGGGAATCTGAATCTATGTTTCATACTTACATTGGGCCCTGATGTCTATAAATAGTACCTACATGGAGCCGTAGGGAGAAGGAGTATACAGAGTTTGGGGGGTTTAGGGGCTCGGGTTTAGGCTTCGGGGGTTGAGCGTTTTAGGATTGGGAAGTCATGATTCATGTAGGGTTGAGGGCCGGGCCCTTCAATCCAAAGGCATTTTTCAGGTGTTGCGTCAGTCTGTGCAACTCTGGGAGTCTGGTCCGCAGTGGCCAGAGGGTTTTGAGGTGTAGGGCCTAGGAAGCCATGAAGGAAGGCAGCGTGAAGGAGCAGATTTAAAGTCTGGTCATGAAGCTTGAAAGCGATTTAGGGCTAAGGGTTTGTCATCGTTTTGCTGGGTCTGCCATGGGACCGTGTGCCAGCAAAGTTTTTGGAAAATAATTCGGGGACTTGTGGAAACTTGAAGGACATGCTTGCATGGAATTGCTTCCGCGACCCCATGCGATGAGACCCTCCTCAATCCCTAAACCCCAAACCCCAAACTCTAAGGCCCCAAAACCCTAATCCCCAAACCCCAAACTCTAAAACCTCAAAACCCTAAACCCCAAACCCCAAACTCTAAAACCCCAAAACCCTAAACCCCAAACCCCAAACTCTAAAAACCCCAAAACCCTAATCCCCAAAACCCAAACTCTAAAACCCCAAAACCC